GATGTTATAATAATATTTTGAACTTGTGAGATACAAAAAGAGGTTGATATGCAAGTTTTTGACACATGAAACCTGTCAAATTTGCTTTCAGATAATCACAATCAGCGATTCTACGACTCGCGAGCGCTCACTCTGAGTGAACGCTCACGAATCATAAAATCGCTTATTGTAACACTATGGTAGCGAAATTGACAGGTTTTATGAGTCAAACACTTGCCTTTCATTCTCTTCTTGTATCTAACAAGTACAAAATATCATTATAACATCGAATGATTTCAAAATTCAGAAAATTATTTTTTTATAGCAAGTGAGTGGAAGCAACCCTGCCTAAAAACACAGGACTTTTACTATCCTTTGAACATAAAACACCAAAATTTCGCACACCCACCACTTCCCTCGTCATTCTCAATCCGATTTATCCTTGCGATTTCAAACCAAAACATTCAAGGTGTCAGAAATACCGGGTTGCCGGGATGGGTATTTTACAAACAATCGCAGCTTGCACTATAATCGGCACAATCGGTACACCTGCGGCACACTGACAAAAAAGATGATCCAAGATTGGTGTGCGGAGTGGCCTACACCTTGTGTTGATTTAATTATTCCTAAAAAATATGGTTTTATGCGAAATGAATATTTGCAACCTTGATTTGAACATACTGATCCAACTTTTTACTACACTAAGAATAATTTCCGAAAATTGATTCACTTAACTGTGATAGTCCGTAGGGGAAGGTCAACTGGGGTATAATTTTTGATTCAGTCGCTAATTGACCACTTTGTCAAGCAGTTTTGGCGTGACTTTCTACCAGCGATTTCACAAAATTGGACCAACAAATTTCTATTTTTATATGAAGCGCACAAATGTTGGCTACTTTTCTCGTGGTTCTAGAAGAAAAAAAATCTCAAAAAAATGTTTTATTTCAAAGTTCGAGTGGTAGTAAACGTCAGTTTAACTGCTCGAATGAAGTGGTTATTTTTTTTTTCTTTCCTTTATTTAACGTCGGTCTCTGTTCCGCAATCTAGTGCCAATCACCGACGGACATCGATTGCCATCAATTGACGGCAATCGAATGTGCAGGAAGGCAGCTTCCATACCTGCGTATGTTATCGCACCCATTCAACACACATGGGCCGGGACCAACGGCTTTACTTCCCTTCCGAAGGAAGACGTGACCAGAGATTTTTATGCCTCAGAAAAATCCCACCGACCTCGGCTGGGATTGAACGTAGACCCATCGGGGTGTTAGAAAGCAAGTGGTTAATTGGTTGATTTTCAAAATTGCTTTCTTGTTTAAATGTGGACAAAATTACTGTCAGAACTGTTTGTATTGCATTAAAAGTGTTTTTTGTTGCTTCATACGTGAAGTTTACGATATTCAGAGTTGGTAGGAAATGCTATACTTATATCAATTCGAAGCTTTAGTGCGATCATTTATCAGTTAGAGTTAATATGGGTCGCGATCCATCTGGTGGGTCACGACCGAACGTGGGAATTTTATGTTTGTCAAGCCAATTTAATGTCAATCTGTTTTTACGTTTCAGTTAATCATATGTATAATATAGCATCAAATTATATAGAAAAACTACATCTGTATTCAATATTGATGGGTTGGGAGCTTATTAAAGTTCATAGTAGGAAAAAGAAAAAAAAAGAAGCCCCACGTTGTCGAAAGCATATCCAGGCAATGGTGTGTTATAATGCAATTCTTCTTTACCCAACTATTGTTTTGCTGCTCTCGTCATGACCAACGTAGTCATCTCAGAGAAAAAGCAGTAGGGCCATAGAGGTAAATCTAAGACTAGTAGGTCCCGAAGAAACGTGCTTAACTTTTTGGCTCAGCTCTGGTACCATAGAGGTAACTCTATGGTCCATAACTTTTAATGGCACATTAGAACAGTCAGAACAAGTAATTGCAGCTAAGTTTAATGATTATTTCGTAGATAGCGTTTCATTGATTAATCAATCTATTGAATTGGTCGATGAACCTGACGAAATAAAACAGCCAGTTAATAGTAGTTGTAGATTTGAAGTTTTTCACAAAATCACATTAGATGAACTTAGAGTTATTTGTTTTTCATTAGGAAAATCGGCTGGAGTAGAAAATGTTAATGCTAGAGTTATTCAAGATTGCTTTCATGTCATTGGCCACATCTTGCTGGACCTTATTAATGAATCATTACAAACTGGACATGTGCCACAAATTTGGAAGGAATCCTTAGTGGTCCCTATTCAAAAAGTTGCTGGAACGATTAAAGCCGAAGAGTTTCGTCCCATCAACATGTTGCACACATTAGAGAAAATTTTAGAACTTGTTGTTAAAGGTCAGCTGTTGGAGTATTTAAATAGTAATAGTTTGTTGATACCAGAACAATCGGGATATCGGGAAGGTCATTCTTGTGAAACCGCGTTGAATTTGGTATTAGCGAAGTGGAAAAATAACTTGGAGTGTAAAGATACGATTGTTGCTGTTTTTTTGGATCTTAAACGCGCTTTTGAAACAATTTCTAGGCCCTTATTGTTAAGATCAATCAAGCGCTTTGGAATTACGAGTACTGCATATAAATGGTTTGAAAGCTATTTGTCTGACAGAACTCAACGGACTGTTTTTAATGATTCTGTTTCCAGTCCCGTGGGGAATAATCTTGGAGTGCCCCAGGGAAGTGTATTAGGGCCCCTGTTATTTATTATGTATATTAATGACTTGCGACGTGTTTTACGATTTTGCGACATTAATCTTTTTGCAGATGATACTGTGTTATTCATTGCAGCTAAGGATTTAGATGATGCCGTTTTACACTTGAATGAAGATTTGCGTTCTCTAAGTAGATGGTTGAAGTATAAGCAGTTAAAATTGAATACAAGTAAAACTAAATTTATGGTAATTTCGCGGAATCGAGTAAATGAGAACGTCTCTGTTGTAATTGATGATGAGACTATTGATCGCGTTCGGGAGATTAAATATCTTGGCGTGATTATTGATGACACACTTAAGTTCAACTCTCACATTGACAATGTCATCAAGAAAATTGCCAAGAAGTATGGAATTCTATGTCGACTGAAAAACGATTTAACTATTGCCAGTAAAATACAGCTATACAAATCAATCATCTCTCCTCATCTTGACTTTTGCCCTTCCATTTTATTTCTGGCCAATGCAACACAAATATCGAGATTACAGCGCTTGCAGAATAAAATAATGCGTTTGATTTTGAGATGTAATAGATTCACTTCCTCAACTTTGATGTTAGACGCCTTACAATGGTTGTCGGTGAAGCAAAGAATTGTATATTTGACTATGGTGTTCATTTTTAAAGTAGTTAACGGTTTGCTGCCTCGATATTTGTGTGATCGAATTGAAAGAGGAAGTGACTTTCATAGATATAATACTAGAAACGCGGTTGAAATAATAACACCACATTTCTTGACTTGTGCTTCACAAAATTCATTATATTATAAAGGAATAAATGTTTTCAATTCGATGCCTAGACATATCAAACGTTTAGCAACACTTACAGAATTTAAAAGACACTGCATTTCACACGTTAAAACTGTCTTTTGAACAGTTATCCCGTGATTTTTTTATGAATTGACAAATTATGTATCTTGACGAAGTTATCTCTAACGGATTATTTTATATGGATAGCTGTCATAACGACTTTTTAATAATTATTGTAGCACTGCAAAAACTATTTCTGTTCGCCACGAGGGTGATGATGGATTTTTAATATTTGATTTTATAGTAGATTAATTAAAACAAAAAGTAGTCTACAAAGGTTTGAGCCTCGCGCGCGTATTACGGATATAGAGGACTGAATTTAACATTTGATAAAAAAAAATGCAATTTTGAAGCTTATTTGAAAGATACCTTGAGTTAGTAGTAAGTTTTCTGGCAAATGTTAGGGGTTAGTGAGCATTCCTGACATTGCTGAAAATTATGATAGCATCAGATTGCGGGGTTACTAGTGTAATAGGATGCTTTGTTGATTGTTCATTAACTCTTGATTGCTTGTAATACTTATGAATATTTTAGGTGGACAAAAAGGCGAACTAAGAGGTGGACGCCTGAGCTTTTCCACATTTATATCGCTGTGAAGCAACTGTAAACTTTAGAAGGAATCTATATCTGTAACTGAAACCAGTTCGATTTTGTTTGCCAACCTGGTTAAAATGTCATATTCAATTATCTTAAAGATAAATCGTCCAGCTCAAACCTTTGTAGGGGTAAGAGGTGGGACCATCATCATTAAAAAAAAAAACTCTAAGACCAGAAGGTCCCGAAGAAACGAGCTCAACAAAAACTCAGCTCTGGTACTATCTTCGGTCCCAAGCTAATCGATGCACCCCTCTAAACATAGGAAAATCAACGAACCCCTCATTTTATCTGTCAAACTTTCATAACGAATCAAAACAAACATAGTGTAGTACTGGAATTTATACTAGAATGGGGTACGTTAATCGATTTGCTTGGGACCAATAGGCTAGTCAAGTAGTGAGCCAATTTAAAATCGTTAGTTTCGTATTGATTGTTGCTGGTACTCTCTTCGGTCCCAAGCTAATCGATATACCCCTCAAAACATACGAAAATCCACGAACCCCTCATTTTATCTGTCAAACTTTCATGGCAAATCAAAACAAACATTGTGTAGTACTAGAATTTCGACTAGAATGAGGCACGGTAATCGATTTGCTTGGGACCAATAGGCTAGGCAAGTAGTGAGCCAATTTAAAATCGATAGTTTCGTATTGATTGTTGGTAGGGTGGTGTTGCGTCCTGAACCATCATCAGAATTATAATGGGAAAATCAAACCCGCACTTTTCGCTTGTGGATTTGAGGACATACCTCAAATCCCCTCATCCATCAAGGCATGAGTTAGATAAAAGAGTGCGCATTCGTTCAAATTTGGCACATTTATTGGGAACCTCAGTGCGGAGCAGAGAGTTGTAAAGTTGTCCCACCCCCGGTGCACGTATTAAATAAATCACAAAATATCTTACCAAAATCAGCACGATTGTAGTACTTTGGACAGTGCAGTCCGGCTTCCGAGAAGCTCCCCACCAATCCACTAATTGGACCGTTGTAAATGCACTTCCCAGCCGACAGCAGGAACAGATCATCAAACAGTTGAAACAGACTGGAAGCCGGTTGATGAATCACACTGACAACCGTCCTGCCTTCCTGCGCCAGTGTCTTGATGTAACTCACTAACTGCATCGCCGAGACGCTGTCCAGCCCACTCGTCGGCTCGTCAAGCAGAATAATAGGTGGATTCGTAATTAATTCCATACCGATCGATAGCCGTTTCTTCTCCCCTCCGGACAAATTCTTCACCAGAGTTGTCATACTCTGACGAAGCCCGAGAACGTCCAGAATGTCACTCACTTTTTTCATCCGCACCATTCGGGAGCTGGAGATGGGCATCTTCAATTCTGCGGCATAGTCCATGATCTCCCGCACCGTTAGGTGATCCATCAAATCGTAATCCTGGGAAATGTACACGCACTTGCTTCGAAACGTTTCATCGCCTACCGTTTCGCCGTTGATCGACACGGATCCGATGACGCCATTTTTTCTTGGGTTGGGTGAAAAAAAAGTCGAACTTTTCACTATCTTCTACCGATTGAATCCCATCAGAACTTACTTGAATCCCGACAGAATGTTCAGCAATGAAGACTTGCCTGCTCCTGAAGGTCCAAGGATCGCTGTTAGTCTTCCCGGGGAGAACCGACCGGAAACGTTCTCCAGAATGGTTTTCCGTTGGTCACCTGCAGCGAAATACTTCCAGATTATTTCCGATCAATCTTCATCACACTGATAAGTAACTCACCCTTCACCACCCCCTTGTAGCAAATATTTCTAAACTCCAAAATCATATGCTCCAAAAGCTTCCGCCGATCTTCCATATCTACAACGGCTTCCATATCGTTCGTACTCAAATTCGATCAACAAGTCGCGCGCACTAAACGTTCTAATGCAGTTGCACTCTCATTGAAATCACTCCTCTAACTGCCGGAGCGAAGTCGTTTTTCCTAACACGAGCTCTGCTTTGCTGCTAGTGTCCGGGAGATGCTAGCAGCCGAGGTCGAATGCAGTTTTCCCTTATGAAGCAGCGATGTTGAGCTCCAAGCGAGCGGCAGACGGTGGCATTTTGCCTAGATTGAATCGTAGGGGAAAACTAAAGGTGCGGATCGAAAAATTCCCATCTTGGCACGCCGAACGGTGTTAGTGGCGATGAAAACTCCGGTTCAGCTGCACGAAAATCGTCGATCGTTAAGATCTTAGTACTTCTAATCGAACTGCGGGGTGTATTAGTGCTGCACTGCAGGTACGATTTCCATGACGTCACGGAAAATCCATCGTCGATGTGTGAAAGGGGGGGGGGGGGGGAGGGAATAATTATTGCAGTTACGATCAAATACTCAGCCGTTGCAACATCGAGTGTTGATGTGTGTTGGAAAGGTGTTCCATTCACAGTGCCGGTTAAAGCTATAACCACTAGTGACTGTTAATAGTGATTAGCGTAACTCAACGATCGGTGGTGATCGAGGGGGGTGGGAGATTAGAGGGAGGTTCAGTTCTTACGTGACATTGAAATGCGCGTGAACTTAGATCAAAGCAATAATGCATGATTGATAGTGAGGTTTCCGGTGCGAACGGAGAAATAGGAACTACTTATTGGGAGAATGTAAAATCTGGCAATGAAAATTTACCACAATATCATCTGTGGGTATTTCGCACGAGAACTGTAATCAAACAATTCCAAAGTAATTTTTTCGTACAAAACCTTCGTAAGATTGATCTATGGTTTAAGATATATACTAAAATTTTATAGGTTTAGCCCATTAACGCCCAGTGATCTATTTCTAGATCAGTTACATATTTGATTACTGTCGAGAAACTTGAGCACAAAAGCTATACATGTATCTTGAATAAGTTGAAAAAGCCATAGGGTTTTTGATCTAATTTCCATCCTACTAAGCACAACCCGCGCTTTAACTCTCTTTTCTGAATGAGTTTAAACTAAAAATGCAATATTTCTTTCATATATGACTTCTAAATTTATTCACCTTTCCATACGTATCGTTGGATTTGATAAAGGGTAGCACATTGTTGAGATATTGTTTAAAATCTAATACTACTTCTTGATTTTCAAAATGTATGGAACTTTTTCAATAGTCTAGACTTTCCCGGTGCCTGAACGATAACTGAATTTCTGAAAGTTCTTTTGACTGCCCTGAATTTATCAAAAAAATTTATGAACCAGCAACTTTGCTGAAATTAATTAATTTGCCTTGAAGTTTCGAAAATGTTCCTCAAGTATTATAACCGTTATTAACACTCGCTTTTTCTTGAACTTATCTATGCTTACCTGAAGTTCTCTAAATTTGATCAATAATTCAGAAAATTTTCTGATTTATACTCATAATTCCTTAACGCCTCTGACGTTTAAGGATCAATGCTAAATTCTTGGAATACCCTAATAATTCTACGTAACTCCTTGTAAGTCGCTGCAAATTTGCTTAAGTTAATGGGATTATTCTGAAGCTATCTCTGATCGTCCTCGAAGTACTTGGAACTTCGCTGATTATCATTAAACTATCTAAAAATATCTAAATTTAGTTCTCTGAAATTTCTTGAAGATATCGCTGCTTGCTAAAAGTTCTCGCTTTTTTTTGTTAATGAAACTTCGTTGATGTTCTCTAATCAACTTAGCTAAATTTTTTTAAGGTTCTTGAAATCTCCATGATTTAACACCCGTAAAATATTCACACGTTTTCCGGATGTTTATAAAATTTCCAGGAACTCCCTCGGAGCTTTACTGAAGTTTTCGGAATTCACTGAATTTCCTGAGACTGTTTTAAGGTTTCTAATATTTCCTTGAAATTATTTGATTCTCTGACATGTTTTGATGTTCTCGAAGCTTCCATAAAGCTCTTAGTTCTATTGAAGATCTCGGTTCTGCTCGGAAATAAATAACCATAAACCCGTTTAAATTTCTCTGAAGGTCTGTGTACTTCCCTGAAATTTGCGGAACATCTTAAGGGTTCTCGATTTGTTTTCAGCGCATCATGGAACTATCTTGAATTTATCTAAATTTACGATCATAGATTTTTAATCTATTTAGCTTTTCTGAGGTGCTTAGAACTTCTAAAAATTTTTCACAATACCCTTAAAGTTTTCTAAATTTCTCAAGTTTGTTTGACATCTGGGAAGTTCTCTGAAATTCTAAGAACTTCATAAAAGTTCATGAAAAGTCTCGGATACTAAAAAAATCGCTTTGAGGTTCTTACAGCTTCCAGTAAGTTTCCCATATTTTCAGCCTGTTAACTTCTTTTATGTTCCTGCAGTTTGTTTATAGAGCTTCACCGAAATTCTCAGCATTTCCTTTCATTCCTCAGAACTTCTGCAAAGTTCGTACAATTGTTGTAAAATTAATGGGACTGCATTGAAAAGCTCGAATCTTTCATAAAATTAATAGCGAACTAGCACTTTGAATTTTTTCCAATATCTTGAATTTATACATGGAATTCGAATCTTCAAGACATTGAATATTTTTAGATCTTGGACTTACTTACTTGGAAAACTCAGGTAATTTTATCCAGAAAAATGAGTAGACATTAGACTGATGCAAAATTTGAAATTTTCGCTCCTTAGTTTTTAAACGGTTCCAAATTGGTCCTGATTAGCATTCCAAAATTAAGAAACGAAATCAGTAGCTCTTCGTGAGTCACTGTGAGCCATCTATGCCAAGCGCATCACCCTCATTCCAAACAACATACAGCGCATAAGCATCATCTGTTTAACACCACAAAAAGCTCAACATTACTCAACCATCACGACAAAACGGTCCATTTCAGGTCCACCATAAATTAGTAAAAGAGGATTTTTTGGACATTTATCAAGGTCATTAACCGGATGTCAGTTCCCATATCAAGATAGAATAAGGGCCTAACAGCTTTTGTAAACAATGACGTCTTTCGATGATGTCTTGAAAGTCAACCCATTATTTTCAGGCTGGAGGGTATAAAAATCATTAAATCGATTTATCTCCATTAATACCCTCGAGCCTGAAAATAATGGGTTGGGAAAAAAAATTTTACAAAAAAAAATTCTGACACCTAAAAACCCTCCAAATCTTGATTAGAGCCGTATTAACGGAGATAAATCGATTTAAAGATTTTAATACCCTCCAGCCTGAAAATAATGGGTTGGGAAAAAAATTTTGACCAAAAAAAATTCTAACACCTAAAAACCCTCCAAATCTCGATTAGAGCCGTATTAACGGAGATAAATCGATTTAAAGATTTTAATACCCTCCAGCCTGAAAATAATGGGTTGGGAAAAAAAAAATTATTCAAAAAATTTTAGACTCCTAAAAACCCTCCAAATCTCGATTAAAGCCGTATTAACGGAGATAAATCGATTTAAAGATTTTAATACCCTCCAGCCTGAAAATACTGGGTTGGGAAAAAAATTTTGACCAAAAAAATTTCTAACACCTAAAAACCCTCCAAATCTCGATTAGAGCCGTATTAACGGAGATAAATCGATTTAAAGATTTTAATACCCTCCCCCCTGAAAATAATGGGTTGGGAAAAAAAATTTATTTAAAAAATTTTAGCCTCCTAAAAACCCTCCAAATCTCGATTAAAGCCGTTTTAACGGAGATAAATCGATTTAAAGATTTTAATACCCTCCAGCCTGAAAATAATGGGTTGGAAAAAAAAAATTTGACCAAAAAAATTTCTGACACCTAAAAACCCTCCAAATCTCGATTAACGGGTGATACTGTCAAAATTTGGTCAAGGGAAAACGCGTGTAAATCGGTGAAATCGTTTATTTAAAAAATCAAATTAAATTTCTTTTTCAAGTTCAATTAGTATAAAATTCAGGAAAAATATTCAGTTAGGCTTCCGCTTTTCCAAATCCGAATTGCCGGGCCTTACGCTTGACCCCTGCCATCAGATTTTGTACAGCCACCTTGTCCACCTTCTTCGCCGCAGAAAGCCAGTTTGCCTTGAACTGCTGCTCGCCCTTAGCAGTTTTTTTGGTCTTCTTTAGGTTCCGCTTGACAATAGCCCAGTATTTCTCAATTGGGCGGAGCTCTGGCGTGTTGGGAGGGTTCTTGTCCTTGGGAACCACCTGCACGTTGTTGGCGGCGTACCACTCCATGGCCTTTTTACCGTAATGGCAAGATGCCAAATCCGGCCAAAACAGTACGGAACAACCGTGTTTCTTCAGGAAAGGCAGCAGACGTTTATTCAAACACTCTTTCACGTAAATTTCTTGGTTGACAGTCCCGGAAGCTATGAAAATGCTGCTTTTCAAGCCACAGGTACAGATGGCTTGCCAAACCAGATATTTCTTTGCGAACTTTGACAGTTTCATGTGCTTGAAAACATCTGCTACCTTTCCCCTTCCTTTTGCCGTATAAAACTCCTGTCCCGGAAGCTGCTTGTAGTCGGCTTTGACGTAGGTTTCGTCGTCCATTACCACGCAGTCAAACTTCGTCAGCATCGTCGTGTACAGCCTCCGGGATCGCGCTTTGGCCGTCGTATTTTGTTTATCATCGCGATTTGGAGTCACTACCTTCTTGTAAGTCGATAGTCCGGCTCGTTTTTTGGCTCGATACACGGTTGTAGACGATACACCCAGCTTATTTGCGGCATCTCGGAGAGAGAGGTTAGGGTTTCGCTTGAAACTACCGGCAACTCTCTTTGTCGTCTCAGCGGCTTCCGGTTTTCGATTTCTCACCGATCCAGACTTCCTGGCTGTCGACAAACGTTCCCCAAACACTTTAATTACATTTGTAACGGTTGATTTGGCAACTTTTAGCGATTTTGCCAACTTTGCGTGCGAGTAGCTCGGATTTTCGCGATGCGCGAGCAAAATTTTGATACGCTGCTCTTCTTGCTTGGACGGCATTTTGACAACTGAAGAGTGAATTCCAAAATCAAAATAGGAGCAACATTCTACACACACACACCTTCAAAATGAGGGGTGTTCAGGTTTTTTAAATGCAAAATTGAAAGAAATACGTCAAGTTGATATTGACCAAATTTTGACCGTATCACCCTTTAGAGCTGTATTAACGGAGATAAATCGAGATATGGAGGGTTTTTAGGTGTCAGAAATTTTTTTGGTCACATTTTTTTTCCCAACCCATTATTTTCAGGCTGGAGGGTATTAAAATCTTTAAATCGATTTATCTCCGTTAATACGGCTCTAATCGAGATTTGGAGGGTTTTTAGGTGTCAGATATATTTTTGGTCAAAAAAATTTTCCCAGCCCATAATTTGGAAGGTATACAAATCTTTAAATCGATTTATCTCCGTTAATACGGCTCTAATAGAGATTTTGAGGGATTTTAGGTGTGTTTTTGGTCAAAAAAATTTCCCCAACCCATTATTTTCAGGCTGGAGGGTATAAAAATCTTTAAATCGAGTATCGTATGCTTATTAAGTGTAACAAAAATAAATTTTAGCAAAATGTTATGCAAAACTAACTTCTAAATCTTTAACTTATTGGTGAGCATTTTTTATTAAGCCCTCCCAGTTCCTCTGTTTACAGAACAAATCTGATACTATGATCAGAATTGCTCAGTCTGCATGAAGCAGCCGATTCCATCATGGAAGTTCTATTTACAACCACCATTCACAATCATTTGAGGAATACTGAAATATTATGAAGCTGATATGTTTCACTATGGGAAATTATCATAGTGGAAAATATAAAGAGACTAAACATAAACCAAAAATGCCTCTAGCTCTTACCTCACTCCAACCCGACTACATAGCCCCATCATCATTTCTTAGTTTCAGAATAGTAATTTGGTCAAATGGTATTCTGCCAAACGACTCATCCGGTCAAATGAGATTCAACTGAACTGGTAACATTTCATGCCCAAGTTGCGTCAAATATGGCAGTGACTGTGAGAAAATCATTGATTCCTCATTCCACATGTGTTCAGTGTTAAGCAAGAATTGTGGAATTTCCTTCAATGATGGGAACTCCGGAGAGATTCCTATTTTATAATCAAACCAACAGATACTAAGCTTCCCGATAAAACCAGCATCACGACGCTGCCCGCCGACATCGTGACACCATCACAGCGACTAAAGCATCCCTCCACCCACCGCATCCGTCGCGTCACCGTTCGTCATCGAACGGCTGCAGATTCAACGAAACTCCGATGTGTAACTTCGCGAGTAACAACAGCCAAGTGCAGCTGCACTTGTGTACTTGCAGAACATCTATTACAACTTAGTTGCCCTCGCTTGGCTCACGAATGTATTTACGCGATGTACGTATGCTCGCGTTTGTGGCTTACCTACCGCACAGCCAGTTGCAATCAATCGGTTTCGATTCGTCGTCAGTCGTTAGCAGCACGTGCAACAGGTAAAACGTTAATCGTAACAAGTGCTTTACTACTGCGTGAACGACGAAACGGTTCGACTCGAAAGCGTCGGAGGTAATTAGTAAAAATCGCGATTTCGAAAATGCGGATATCGTATGACAATTTTTCGAAAGCCAGTCAGTCGATGTGAGATGAGTGTTTTAAGTGTGCTGTTAAATTTTCCAGTCATTAATTTGCGAGCGAAATCGAGTGAAACGAAGTGAGCTTACATCAGTTATGCAATTTAGATACCGCTGTTAGCGCGTATCATAGCAATGAGTGATTATCGTTGATCGTTTGAGTCAGTGCTCGAAAGAACAGCAATTATCAGTTGAATTATCTGCAGCGTGGACAGAGATCAAACGATCAAAATGCCTGCCGATGAGGAGTTTGAACTGATGACAAAGCCGCTGCTCAGCTTTGTTCCATCGACACTCAAGTTCCGCAATGTTTACTACACGGTTGACGGTTGTTGTGATTCACCGATGTCAGTCTGATAGGTCATTGTAATTACAAAATGTTCAATTACAGGGAAGGATATTCTGAGTGACGTGTCTGGTAAATTCAAACATGGTCGACTGGTGGCTCTGATGGGACCTTCCGGGGCGGGGAAGTCATCCCTGTTGAACGTCCTGGCTGGAATGAACCTGTTCGGGCTGAGTGGATCTATCATCATTGGTGATGAACCCGTGGAGGAAAACGACCCACGAAGTGTTTATGTGGAACAAGATTGTCCGCTGCTAAGCTACTTGACTGTAAGAGGAACTATGACCTATGCTGTAAATATGAAGATGTCTCGAAGTAATTCCACCAAAGAAAAGAAGAACAAGGTAAGGCTGACACTTCACTGTGATTATTCAATATTGAAAGAAAATTATCTTCCAGATCAAAGAAATCCTCCAGATTCTGGGACTGGAGAAATGCTCGTCTACGCTGGTGAAGAATCTGTCTGGAGGCGAGCAGAAGAGGCTTTCGGTAGCGGTAGAGTTGATCACCAACCCTGCAGTGATGCTTTTGGATGAACCCACCAGTGGTCTGGACAGCGTTGCTTCTACGCAAATCATATCCCACCTGAAATCGCTGGCCATGGGAGGACGTACGATCGTTTGCACCATTCATCAACCTGCATCCAGTTTGTTCCAATTGTTTGACGATGTCTACTTGCTGGTCAAAGGGCGTTGTTTGTACTTTGGATCGATTGACGGGATGATTCCGACTCTAGAGTCCGCTGGATTCAGATGCCCGGAATATTACAATCCAGCTGACTTTGCGATCGAAGTTCTAACGTCGGAAGATCAAGAACCAAAGGAAGCAATGATCGCTCAAACTAAAGCAGAGTTGCGAGATCTTTTCGAAGGCGGGCCTTCAAGTCCGACCATAAACAGACCGGACGTAATTGTTCGACGCTATCAGGTCCCTTTCTGGTACCAGTTTTTAGTATTACTCAAAAGATCTGCAATCTCCACCGCTAAGGACGAGGTGTGACCCGCTATACGTTCAAGTTTTGCGAAATAATCATACAACTCATTAATTGCAGTTCTTCCTTAAAGTGAGGGTTGCCCTCTACATAGCTCTAGGGTTAATTTTCGGAATAGTTCACTACAACGTGGGAAACGATGCCAGCAAGGTGATCGCCAATGCCAGTTGCTTCTTCCAGATTTTTGCCATTGTTTACTTCTGCAATGCCATGGCTGTGATAAATTGTAACAAAATGCATTCCCTCACTACTCAACAATCTTGAATAACCATTTTCAATATTCACAGACACCGAGGAGGCCAACGTTACCATCAAGGAGATCGCCAACAATTGGTACAGCCGGGAGGCCTACTTCTTCTCCAAACTGCTAAACGATCTCCCTCTGCAGATCATCTGCCCCCTGTTGATGCTACCGCCAATGTATTACCTCTCGGATCAACCGCTGGAAGTGCACCGCTTTGCCATGGTTTGGTTGATGGTCTTCTTCGGCGGGCTCATCGGCCAGTACATTGGAGTATTTGCGGGGATCTGTTTCAGTATTAAAACGCAGAATTTCGTCGTTGCCAATGCCTGTATCATTCCGGTTATATTTTCGGGATTTTTCATCAATTCCAAAGATTTGGTTCCATATTTGAAACCCCTGAGTGATGTGTCGTTCTTTCAGTACCTGTTCCACGGAGCGATGCAAGCTTTGTACGGGTTCGACAGGGGGAATCTGAAATGCCCGCAGATTTATTGCTATTATAAAAAGCCGGGCAGTATTCTGGAGCAGTTCGATATAGATCCGTATGGGTTTGGAAAAAATGCTGCCATTTTGGGGGGTATTACATTTATTTTGCTCACTGTGATTTATGTGGCTTTCGTCGTTAGGTTAAGGCGATTCAAGTAAAGATCAAGCGATCGTGTTTTGTATTGTTCGAGTTGAAGTTATTTTACCGAATTTCCATGACATACGATTGCGCCTGGTTTGAGACAAATAAATAAAAAGTACTACAATTTCTTCTGAAAAATTTCATAGAAAAGACGGGAGGGTATGTCGAGCTATCCTTTTTTTTTCCTTGATTTGTTTTCCGTCGATCTTGTTTTCCGTGCTGAGCACAAATGCTACCGACACCAGGGAAGCAGCTCCTACACCTGGACCCTACCTATCGACCCATCAACTCATGAACCGGGGACCAACGGCTTTACTTCCCATCCGAAGGAAGGCGTGATCAGAGATGTTATGCCTCAGAACATCCCGGCGAAGCCGACTGGGATTGAACCCAGGCCTGCTGGGGTGAGAGGTAATCACGCTTTCCACTACACCACCGGCGCCGCTCAGTCGAGCTATCCTCATTTAATAATAACTAAATCTTTTTACATATCACCAATTCTATGGAGCACCGGTTAACGGTGCCGGTGGTGTAGTGGTAAGCGTGATTACCTCTCACCCCAGCAGGCCTGGGTTCAATCCCAGTCAGCGCCGCCGGGATGTTCTGAGGCATAACATCTCTGATCACGCCTTCCTTCGGATGGGAAGTAAAGCCGTTGGTCCCCGGTTCATGAGTTGATGGGTCGATAGGTAGGGTCCAGGTGTGGGAGCTGCCTTCCTGGCACGTCGGTAGCATTCGTGCTCAGCACGGAAAACAAGATCGACGGAAAAAACAAACCAAAGGAAAAAAAAAATTGAGCACCGGTTCTCAAACATTAACATCAAACATTAACCAAAACAAAAACAGAATGATAATGAGATGGCAGGAAGATACCAAAATAGCCCCAAAATTAAATCGAATACAGGAACTAGATGTGCTTTCTTATACTTCATTAACACTCCCAACACGATGCCTCCGGTAAAATGTGTAACGGCAAACTTTGAAAAATCATAGCTCAGTCATTTATTGACGAATTTCAAATCTTTGGCGCTATTTGAAATTTCATACCTTGAAAATTTATTCGGTTGCAATAGGTTTAAAATCTATTGAAACCTTACTGAGCAATGATTTTTCAAACATTACTAATATGCCGTTACTGATTTTACCGGAGGCATCGTGTTGGGATTGTTAACGAGATTTTTAGCCCAAGGGCCATGTTAGCCAGAATCCGATGATCAAAAAACACTAAAAGAGTCAGCAGTATCAAAATGGAAAAGTAGTAGTAACAGTATTTAGAAATGTACCTCATAATGATTAAATGGTAATCCGGACAAATTATCAACAATAAAGGATGCCGGATGGTGGGGGCAACAGGTTCTAAGATCTGTGGTTGCCCCTCCCCAGATAATGTTCACGCTCGATTTTTGACGTAGGACTACGTCTGTGAGTTCTATATGGGGGTACACTTTGTGAAAACCGAAAATAAAACATGAAACATTTTGAACGTTAATAACTCAGCTGCCCCTGGACCAATTTCAATAATTTTATCACCAATCGATCAGAAATATTCCTACGCATCTGCTTAATTTAATACTTTTTTTTTTCAAAATGTCACTATTGAAAATTGCACGAATTTGCAACTGTTGCTATGATAGTTAAAATTATCACCGATCGCCTGCGAAAAGCGATTTCCCTAACACAGATTTCAAAATTGAAATCCATCCGGTCTCACCAAACGGTGTTAATTCAATCACCGCGTGGTGTTCTCCAGTACACAATCAAAAGCTGCCTGCAAGCAGCGAGCTGCAGCCCACATGAGCATCCATAGAAGGAGGAAGAAGCCGCACCGCTATTGATCGGAATCAGTAGTTCTTCGTGAGTCGCTGTGGGCCATCTATGTCAAGCGCGCAGGGCTGAAAAAATCACTAAAATTCATCAAAGTTCACTATGGATAAAAAATTCATTTCATAGTGAATGCTGGTGATTTTTTCATGATTTTTTCAACCCTGCAAGCGCGTCATATTTACTAAAGAGTATAAACTGAGAGAACCCCGCTCAAATTCCTATTCCTACACAAAACACAAGCTCCTGCTGCAGTTAACAAATAATATTTATTTTATAAGACCACGTAGTCCAACGTCACCATTGCGTACAACCCCATAGGGCTGTCCCTTGTAGTTGTTTTTCCTCTAAATTGAGTAACTTCCACTCAGTTTGCTATTTTTATACAAAATACCAAAAACTGAGTAACATGAAATCTGTTGATCTTAAATTAATGTTTACTCTGTTTTGAGCAATCAACAACAAAAATTACTCATCGTGCTCTGGTCAAAGACTTATTATCGTTACGTTAATCCCCTTTGCATCAAACATCGCATCAAACTGTAATAATTAAAAAGTGTGGATCAGATGCTGCAGTAGGAGGATGTTTTGGACCCGGAGGATTTGATTCTTATGGAAGAGGAGCAGAATCCTATACGGCAAGTCCAAAACAACTATGTACCAATTTCAGAACCAGCGTTCGTGTGCTCGACGTGGACGAATAAGGACGAGAGGGCTGATGTATAACACATGTTCTCCCACCAAATCACTAAAAAAGTAGTGCAATGTAACTTAATTGTTATTATATTTAATTAAATATGCTGTTTTTTCCTGCATTTAAAGAGTAGAGGTGTGACATTTGAAGATATTTACTACCTATAGTTAATGTCTTGTTTGCTAGGGCCCAACATCCTATTTACACCTATGACTGTGACTTAAAAAAAAATCATAAAAGTAAGAAAGATGATGGCCCCACCTCTTACCCCTACAAAGGTTTGAGCTGGACGATTTATCTTTAAGATAATTAAATATGACATTTTAACCAGGTTAGCAAACAAACTCGAACTGGTTTCAGTTAAAGATATAAATTCCCTCTAGAGTTTACAGTTGCTTCACAGCGATATGTGGAAAAGCTCAAGCGTCACCCTCTTAGTACGCCTTTTTGTCTACCTAAAATATTCATAAGTATTACAAGTAATCGAGAGTTAATGAACAATCAACAAAGCATCCTATTACACTAGCAACCCCGCAATCTGATGCTATCATAATTTTCAGCAATGTCAGGAATGCTCACGAACCCCCAACATTTGCCAAAAAACTTACAACTAAACCAAGGTATCTCCCAAATAAGCTTCAAAATTGGATTATTTTTTATCAAATGTTAAATTCAGACTTTTGTCGACACACAGTTGACGAAACATAGTTCTTTTTGAAGCAGTAGATATAACCCAAGTAACCAAAAGTTCTGATAAAAGGCTATTTCTGGCTTAAGCAGCTTGGTTGGTGGTGGTCTATAGAATTCTAAGCAGCCTTATTTTTAAGTCGTTATAAGAACTTGAAAGTCCTGGTATCATAATTAAAGAGCATGCTTAGCAGCTTCTGGCGGAACTTGAACGGAACTTTTAGAAAATAAATTAAAAACGGTTATTGTCCTCTACACCAAATTCTATATTAAGTTCGCACTCTTATGAAAGTTATTTCTAAAGGCAAGTTTTAATGTGTATTGATTTGATTTATCAGCATTAGTAGTTGAATTGGAGCTGTTTGAAGAATTAAACCCAGTCCTTCTGCGTGAGAGCCCCAGCACAAATCGCTGCGTCATCTGAGATATAATAAAGTGAGCTGTTGTCCCGCCTACTGTTGGAGTTTTCAGTGCCAGCTGACTGACTTGAATACGAAACACAACACCTTGATGAATTTTAAATTGGTGTTTGCCCGCATGGTATTCCAACACATTTGTGGCGCAGTGGTTAGCGTTCGTAGATCGCATGCCGAATACACGGGTTCGAATACAGGAAATTACTTTTTAATTTTTTTTTATGCTGTGATAGAATGTTGATGCACATTAAATTTTGTTACTAATAAAGACTTGTGCGGATTGGTTCATGTGGCTGGAAAGTTCTGTCGGAACTTTATTTGAACTAAATGGAACTTGAAAGTTCTGTCGGGACTTTATTTGAACTTTATGGAACTTGAAGGTTCGGTCGGAACTTCATTTGAACTTTACGGAACTTGGAAGTGATTTTAATCGTTGAATGCGGAACTTTTGGTTAGTTGGGAAAAGAGGGCAAGCTTGTTATAGATACGTAAAAAAAAAGTAGATTTTAATTCTAGTAATAAACTGTTTTTGATTTTGCGTTGCAAAAATGCAGTGAGAAATACTCGTGGCACATCTCGGACTTTACGTGTAAAAATTCATTGGTGTTGATTCAAATGTTAATATTTACCTAATCTTTGCATATCTACAGTAAACTATGATCCTAATCTATCAACTACTTTAAACAAAAACAAATTTCAACAACTGAATGAAAAGTAATTCACAAATGAGCAGTAGGTGTGTACAACTGTGTGTGCCAAGCATTATCTACTATCAAAGTTGAGTATTTTATTCTGCAAGCGCTGTAATCTCGATATTTGTGTATTAAAGTCTAGATGAGGAGAGATGATTGATTTGTATAGCTGTATTTTACTGGCAATAGTTAAATCGTTTTTCAATCGACATAAAATTACATACATCTTGATGACATTTTCAATGTGAGAGTTCAACTTAAGGTTGTCATCAATAATCACGCCAAGATATTTAATCTCCCGAACGCGATCAATAGACTCATCATCAATTACAACAGAGACGTTCTCAATTACTCCATTCCGTGGAATTACCATAAATTTAGTTTTACTTGTATTCAATTTCAACTGTTTATACTTAGAGAACGCAAATCTTCATTCAAGTGTAAAACGGCCTCATCTAAATCCTTAGCTGCAATGAATAACACAGTATCATCTGCCAAAAAAATTAATGTCGCAAAATAGTAATGCACGTCGCAAGTCATTATTATACATAATAAATAACAGGGACTCTTATACACTTCCCTGGGGCACTCCAAGGTTGTTCCCCACGGGACTGGAAAAAGAATCATTAAAAACAGTCCGTTCAGTTCTGTCAGACAAATAGCTTTCAAACCATTTATATGTAGTACTCGTAATTCCAAAGCGCTTGATTGATCTTAACAATAAGGGCCT